CAGTCCAATCCCTGTCTGAAGAGTTGGCCTTGGAAATTATTTTAGTTCTGGGCTGATAGAGAATCCAGGGGCCATGCTTTCCGGGGTTCCTCCAGTCTCAATCAGACCATTAAGTCTGGTCTTCTTACTAGAACTTGAGTTCTGCACCCCACCTTTCTGCTCTATCAGGGACTCTCTGTTGTGTTCCCTGTCAGGGCCATGACTGGTGGTAGCCAGGTACCATCTAGTTCTTCTGGTCTCAGGCTGATGAAGTCTCTGGTTTATGTGGCCCTTTCTGTCTCCTGGGCTAATACTTTCCTTGTGTCTTTGGTGTTCTTCATTCCCCTTTATTCCAGGTGGTTGGGACCAACTGATGTATCTTAGATGGCTGCTTCCAAGCTTTTAAGACCCAGATGCCACTCACCAAAGTAGGATGCAGAACATTTTCTTAGTAAGCTTTGTTATGCCAATTGACCTAGATGTACCCTGAAAGCATGGTCCCCAGATCCCTACCCCTGCTACTCTGTCCCTCAAAGTGTTTGATTGCATTCAGGAAACTTCTTAGCTCCCAAAACCTTTCTAATGTTGCTTAAGTAAGGTTATTGCATAAATTACATCCGCATTAGTAGATAAAGATCAACTAGACAAATTCAGTTTTTACAATTATAATTATTTTACAATTATAAATAATTATATTTTTACAAAACAGCAAGAAAACAAAATGTGCCTCTATTAAGCTTGAGAAATGAACAGATTCATGGACTGGAAAATTACATTAATTGGCAGTAAATTATATTTCAGACAATAGATGGTAAATAAAATCTATAAGCTTAAATAAAGTTGTTTGCTTCTTCCATGTACCACTAATAATGTACCAGTAAATATATAAAGTTTGGTGAAATTCTTTGAGGGTAAGGACAGATGTTTAAGGTTACCAGTTAAGCCAGTTTATTAAAATATATTCAGATATATTTAATAAAAATATAGTACTCATCCGTCCAGATTTGCTATATATATAAAACCTAACCTTAAAGAGGGTTTATATAAGATATAGCAAAAACCAAACTAACAAATCAATTACTGATAACTATATAACCCCTAAGGAGAATAGATGCTAAGTACTCCTCAAGGAGAAAAAAAAAAGCAAAAAGTGGTTTAAAATTTTAATAATAAGTGTCATCATTTGCAAATAAAAATTGTGTATGAGACCTTCCGACCCTCTCACTTACTTATAATCAACTATGTGTATTTTAATCAGCAAAAGGCCAGGCATTTTTATGTTAATGGAAATGTACAAATAAAAAATGAGCAACCAGTTAGAAGAAGGCCAAAAGTTCATATCAAGTACATTTTTTAGTTTTAAGACCAACTCCCAGTCACAATCTCCACATGAATTTTACAAGGAAATTCTGCAAATTTTACAGAAGACTGTAATGCTTCTTATGCCCCAAAACAAAATCCAAGCAATTGCTGAAATCTTCTGTAATAAAAAGAGAAAAGTATACATATTGTAGCATTATGGGATGACAATAACAGATTAAAATGCCAACGTCTCAAGGTTCATAGTATAAAAGAACTTAGGCCATACAGGTCATTACTTGAGGATGAAAAAATGTTCTCATGGTGTTATATAGGAGAAAAAACAATCACAGGCAATTCCTTCTCATAATGACGAAGTATTCACAAGTATTTCCCTTAATTTTTCTTTCCAAGGTGTCCTGTCCTGTGCATAATATTTCACTCCACTGCTCACAAACACTTGTAAGCACCCTTGGAACATTCCATCTCTATAGCTAGCTCAGCATCCGTGAGGTCTCTTTCTTTTTTTCTTTTGCCACCTTCAGTTATTCAAGAAATATTTCAGCCTCTACTATGTACTAAATATAACCCCTTTACTTCATTAAGGAGTCCTGGTGGTACAGAGGTTAAAGCCATCAACTGCTAACCATAAGGTCAGTGGTTAGAAACCACCAGCAGCTCTGTGGGAGAAATACGCGGCAGTCAGCTTCCATAGACATTTACAGCCTCGGAAACCCGATGGGATCACTATGATTTGGAATCAACTTGATGGCAGTGGGTTGGGTTTACTTCATTAAACTCTAGGCTTAGTTTTCTGTATCTCTTAATAAAATACCTGAAACACCTCAATACTCCAAGTACAATTTTACTGTTTCACTTAGAAAGGCTTACTCATTAGTACTGTTTGCAGGCTTGTTTTTTTTATTTATTGCCTACATTAAGTAAAATAATCCTAAGTTTCAAATACTAGGGAGTAAACAGCTAACACTTTTCCTTATAATATCACTGCGAGCACATTAAAAATCAATGAAAGATGATTAAAAATATGCATAAATTTTTAAAGTCTGAAGGGTTACATAAAAATGATTATCCTCAGAAATTAAGCTATATGCCAAATAAACTAATCACTTTTGTAGATTTCAAAGCAAAAAGCACAAACGTTAGTCACCAATAGCAGAATACCTTTTTTTTTTTTAAAATAAATAATCAAAGAATTAGGATACTTGCCTAAATTAACTAGCCAAACCAAACACACCCAAGCAATAATTCAGTTACAACACTGAACACTTGATGTTCTGGGAATTGAATTAATCACTAGGTTTTGCATTTCTACAGATGATACCAATATCACGTTACTTTTTTTGGCTCATTAGTCTCCTCAAACTTACCATCTGACATATCCTTAAGGACCAGATTCTCCAACTCACTCCACTCAGTGTTCAGACGTTTCATTAACTTGAATGCATTCACAGGGTGTCCAACAAAGCCCTCTGGATCTTTTGTCGCTGTGCTGGTTAACCGATCCAACTTCTCTGACCATCTATGCGTATAAGACATATACATGGAGTATATATACACTTAGTAACGACAAACCCAATTAGAAAGTGCTCAAAAAAAAAAAAAGACTAGAGGTTTTTGACTTAAAACTATACCTATAATTTCTTTTTAAAATAAAATTATAAAGATTTTTTTTTTTAAACCAAGGTTCTTTTATGGATAAAATATAACATGGCATAATCAAAATACAACTAGCACCTTTTTGTTTTGGTTTTGTTTCTCCCAAATGGTTATAATAAAAGTTGCTATTGGATTCCCCCTGGTAAGAATCTAAAATCCACTTCTTCATATGTTCTTAAGGCCAAATAAGTGATTATTACAAAGTACAAATTAACCAACCCCAATTCAGTTACATTTGCATTTAAATCAAATTGATACCAAAATTCTAAACTCGGTACCTAGAAATTATTTTAAAACAAAAATCTGAATACTTAGCTTCTTATTAAATGAAAGGCAGGAATTCTCAGGTCAGGATTAACTATGAACCTGAGTCAATTCAAAACAAATTAGCATTTGAAAAGAACCATATCAATTAAATACTAACCATACTTATTTATCACCATAATCTCTACAACAGAACCACAGGAGTGAAGAAGGAAAAATACACTGGAAAACTGCTCCAGCAGGTAGCTTGACTGAGCAGGTTAGGGTAGAATGAAATATTGGCAGCCACTTTTTTAAATTGTTAGTCAACTTCCCTCACCCATCCATATTCTTATCTCAATCCATGCTGTTTCACATGAACCTTTGGCCCAGGTTTAACTCTTGTTTTCTATGCTCCTATTTCAGCCATTTCCACCCTTGACCCTTTGTAACACTGATGGGTGGCTTTCACTTCCACTCAAAAAATATTTTAGCTCTAGGAAGAAAACATTCAAGTAGAGTCAGAGCCTTAATAAGTAAAACATTCTGCATACTTTTTTATTTGTTCTAACTTGTCCTCTTCTGCCTTAATATAGTCTTTCAGGGAGGTCACCAGATCTTTCTCAGTGTAGATTAAATCAGTCATCTGACCTAGAGGGGGAAAAGGGAGAGAAAGCTATCAAATACTCAGATTTATAAACACAGCATTTTAGAATAATTTAAGAATGACTGAGAATGCGTCATTCTATGAGAGAATTTAACCAGCATGAATCAGGTATGTTGGCAAAGAGCGTCTTTTTTTTGTTTGTTTTCCTTTTTTTACCAGATAAAAATAAAGCCCAAAATTTTGTTGTGTGTCAATTCTAATTTTTAAAGCTTTTACAAGCTTGGACTATGCCGGCCAATTGTCTTTCATCTATAAATTCATTCACAAATTCCAAGTAGTATTTTCCAAGGATCAATGTTTCTTCTTCCTCACCACAGCCCTCCTCACTTTTTTGTTTGTTTGAGTCAAGTTAGAACTAAAATTCTATTCAATAAGCAAAAACTACACTAACAACAAAAAAAAGTACTTCACTCCTGAGGTTCACCCTTCAGCCAAAGATTAGACAGGCCCATAAAACAAACAATAATACATGTAGCTCAACCATGTATACAAGACTAAATGGGCACACCAGCCCAGATAAAAGGATGAAAAGGCAGGAAGGGACAGGAAAACTGGATGAATGGAAATGGGGAACCCAAGGCTGAGAAGGGGAGAGTGTTGACACGTCACAGGGTTGGCAACCAATATCACAAAACAGTATGTGTGTTAACTGTTTAAAAAGCAACTAATTTATTTGCTCTGTAAACCTTCATCTAAAGCACAGTAAATAAAGAGTACCTCATAACTAAAATCGAAAAAATCTGTTTATTTACAATGGAATGGCAGGACTCGTCACTTTATATCTTAAAATTAGGTATTATAAATACATAATACTTTTGTTTTTGCTAGCTCTACAATTACACAGGGATAAAACTAGTCAACAGGATGAAGGAAAGCATCTCATTTAAGACAGATAAATTATGCATACAAGAAAACACAGGAGGATACACATCAAATTATGCAGAATACTTCTTAAGGGCTGGGGACATGGGGATGTTTTACATTTCATGTAATTCTGTTCTTTTCCCCCTTTAACCAATATGCTTTTTTTTGTAATACATTTAAGGATTTTTTAAAATTATGATGTAGAATAAAACTGTGAACTTGTGAAGTAAATCTTAAGTGGTAAAAAGCAGGTTACAAAATGATGTGCAGTATATTATTTGTGTATCTGTACATCAAAAAAGACTAAACATATGCATTAAATTATTTGCAATGGTTATACTTGACTGGACTCATTATGAGTAATTTTCTTTGGTATGCTTTTCTAATTTTCATAAATGTCTAACCTGTAAATGTATTATTTTTATAAACAAAAAATTAAAAATTTTTAATTTAAAAAAAAGAAAAAGGAACTTTTAGAGGGGAAGGGACTGAACCAATACTTTAGTTTCTGGGAATATACTGCATTTGTTTTTATTGGTTTAAAAAACTAAAAAATGGAAATTTTTAAATGCAAAAACAACACAAAGCAAAAAATAATAAGACTTACCAATAGAAGTAAAAAAGCCTGGATGAGCCAAAGACCGAGGAAGTAAAATCCCAACAATTAAAGTATACCAGATCATCTTGGCAGATTTAATTTGACAGGTTCACAACCTACAAGAGAAATACGGCCATTACTAAAAAAAGAGAGAAAGAAAAAGAAAAGGAGTGGTAGGAAAACGTGCTTACCTATTCTTCCTGTGAACAAAATAAGTCTGACCTCAAGGTTGCCCATACAATTTTTTAACTGATTTAATAACTTAATAATAGCTTTTGTTTATGCCTACTGTCATCTTATTTTTCATATAGCATACTAATTGATATTTTGTATTAGCGCAAAATGTGCATATGTTATCGCCTGATAATTTATACTTAAAAATTCAATCTGAGTTTGTTTTCTTAGTTACTACTGCAATTAACAGTAATTTAGCCCCCAGACTCTCTGTTAGCCCCAAACTAAAACCATTTCCAAGGCCAACTCTTCAGACAAAGATTAGACTGGACTGTGGGACATAAAATGATACTCGTGAAGAGTGTGCTTCTTAGCTCAAGTAAATAGATACATGAGACTAAATGGACAGCTCCTGTCTGGAGGTGAGATGAGAAGGCAGAGAGGGTCAGGAGCTGGTTGAACGGACATGGGAAATCCAGGGTGGAAAGGAAGAGTGTGCTGTCACCATACAGGGAGAGCAACTAGGGTCACATAACAATGTATGTATAAATTTTTGTATGAGAGACTAACTTGAATTATTAACTATCACTTAAAGCACAATGATAAAAAAAAAAAGGGTAATTTAATAGTAGTATTCGCTCTTCCATATAGCCTGAAGAATAAGTTTTCTCTGTGATCTAGATCAAGACCATGAATTTCCCATAAAAATATACCACTTTATTAAAATATCTTAATTTAAATATTACCAAAATACATTGTAAAGATGCTAGACTATGTTCTAAAGAGGGAAAAGAACAGATTTCAGAGCTTTCTGATTAATCCTTAAAATTCCTAATCTATTCTGCCTTTTTTCCCGTATGGCTTTAAATTTTAAAACAAATTCAATTAAAAGTTGTAGATTTGGGGAATTTCTTTTTGAGGTGATGAAAATGTCCTAAAATTGACTGTAGCAACTGACAGTTGAACAACTCTGTAAATGTACTAAAAAGCCACTGAGTTGTGCACATTAAATGGGTGAATTTTGTGGTATGTGAATTACATCTCAGTAAAGCTTTTTTTTTTTAAGCCACAGAGAATCCAAAAAAAGAATAAACCTCTCAGAGTTTCCAGTTTTGAGTTTTTTTCTCTTATCTACTCTGTTCTATGTAAAAAGCCTAGTACATAGTTATGGCTTTTTTTTTTTTTTTAACCTGTCAGCAAAGCCCTTCTACTGTTTTTTCTCTTTGTCCCAGATATGTTTTCTAGTGTGTATTTTTCATGGCAGATGTGCATATCAACTAACCAGCAGAAAGGCTTTACCTTGCTTTCCCAAATGCCCTGCGAGCACTATTCTCTTGCTCCTTCTCCACCACAAACATGAACTTTAAATCTTTCTTACTACTTTACAGGAGAATAAGTTACACTTGCCCCTGTAACTCTATTCCTGTCTGAGTTCCTCTTTGTGCAGGCAACTCCGATTCTTCCACGTAGATTCACCTAATGCAAGAGGCCCAAGTACATACGGTAAGTTCCCTACTCCACAAAAGCTGAAAAATCACCCTACTTACCCCTTAACTTGAACCTCGGTAAAACTAGATCACCACAAAAACTGACATTCTGCAAGTAGTCCTAAGTCTCCTCCCTCCAGTTTGTCACAAACTTCTAGACATTTCCAGAACCACACAGTAGTGAAATACACTGTTCTCTTGGCTGCCTTACAGAGAGTCTTTGGGAAGGCTTCTAGAATGTAGCAGATGCAGACACTTCCTCTCTGGGGCTCCTGCCAAAATAAGACTTTCCAAAATGCTGGGCTGCCTGAAGAGTCTAGAATTTTCCCACTGTTTAAACAGATTTCTTCCATAATTTTCTTCATATATAAATGTTATTTCTAGAAAACACATTTTCACTAACATAAGACTAATCACAAATGCTGTCTAAAGTCTTAATTCTGATGAGAAAGTTTAGATGTCAAATAAGAAGTTATTTTTTCATTGATAAAATATATTGTCACTTAAGTTTGTCGTCTGTCATTATCCTTAAATCTCACAATGAATTAAGAACCCATTAGCCTGCAGGAATAACTAAAAGAAGGTTAAGATGATTTTCTCTTCAAATGCAATAGCTTGACAACTATGTTTTTAAAATGACAGAGCTTATATAACAATTCAAATTATTAATCATATGAAGAATAAATATACCTTTACCTTACATAATGCAGCAAATTTTTTAGGTGAATTAAAGAGTTTCAATTAACAAAACAATATAAAACAGACAATAAAAACAAAAGTTATCAGATCTCTACAAAAGGAGAATTTCTAAATTTAAACAAAAGATAAAACAAATAGCACATCAAAAGTCAGGTGGAATTTAAATACACAAAAAATTAAAATTTATGTATATTAAAAAACTATAAATGACAAACTAGAAACCTATCTTTTAAAAAAAAAAGCTCATTTAATAAACTTATGCAGTTTATTAATAAAATGTTCTGCATCCTACTTTGGTGAGTGGCAACTGGGGTCTTAAAAGCAAGTGAGCAGCCATCTAAGATGCATCAATTGGTCCCAACCCATCTGGAGTAAAGAAGAATGAAGAACACCAAAGACACAAGGAAAATATTAGCCCAAGAGACAGAAAGGGCCACATAAACAAGAGACTCCATCAGCCTGAGACCAGAAGAACTAGGTGGTGCCTGGCTACCACCAATGACTGCCCTGACAGGGAACACAACAGAAAGTCCCTGATGGAGCAGGAGAGAAGTTGGGTGCAGAACTCAAACTAGTAAAAAGACAAGACTTAATGGTTTGACTGAGACTAGAGGGACCCCAGAAGATATGGCCCCCACACTCTCTGTCGGCCCAGAGCTGAAACCATTCCCAAGGCCAACTCTTCAGACAAAGATTAGACTGGACTATGGGACATAAAGCGATGCTCGTGAGGAGTGTGCTTCTTAGCTTCAGTAGATACATGAGACTAAATGGGCAGCTCCTGTCCAGAGGTGAGTTGAGAAGGCAGAGAGGGTCAGGAGCCAGCTGAATGGACATGGGAAATCTGGAGTGGAAAGGAGGAGTGTGCTGTCACAGTACAGGGAGAGCAACTAGGGTCACATAACAACATGTGTATAAATGTTTGTATGAGAAACTGACTTGAATTGTAAACTTTCAATTAAAGCACAATTAAAAAAAAAAAAGAAGAAGCTTATACAAATCAACAAGAAAACCACTAGGATGCTAATAGATAAGTGGATAACAGATGCAAAAAGTCACAAAAGAGGAACTATACATAGCTAACAAAAACAATGCTCAAATTCATGAGTAATCAATGACATAAAAAATTAAAATACATTTTTTTGCCCATCAAATGAACAATTAAACAAATGTAACAAATTAATAATTAAAAGTATCTAACGATGGTGTTATGTGTCAAGAATCATATCCTTTAACTTGTGAAGTTAAAGGAAAACACAAGATTTAAACATCAACATCACAATATGATCATAACTATGCAAGAAAATATATAGAAGAAGAGTAGATGCTGAGGCTGCTTATACACAACCAAAAACCTCAAGGGATTTTCTAATTACATGTTTAGTGCTTCTGTTCTACCTCCTAGTTCGATGTGTAGTGCCTGGGGTCTTAAAAGCTTGCAAGTGGCCATCCAAGGCACAAAAATTGGTCTCTATTCGCCTGGAATAACAGAGGAAAGAGAGTCAGGAATAGGAGGAGGACGTGGAACTGCCTCCATGAACAACTGCCTCCTTCGTCATGTGACCAGAAGAACTGGAAGTTGCCTGGCTACCATTACTGAACATTCTGATCAAAGATTCCACAGAAGAATCCTGATCAAAAGGGGAATACGCAAAGAGAATTACAAATTTTCACGGACTCCAGACATCCTGAAACTACTACCCTGAGATAATCTTTAAACCTCAAACCAAAAATAACCCCTGGGGAGGCGGGGCCAAGACGGTGGAGTAGTCAGACGCTTCTGGTGGACCCTCTTACAACAATGGCCCAAAAAAACAAGTGATTCAACTATATATGGCAATCTGGGAGCCCTGAACATCAAAGGCAGAGTTGAGGAACTGGACTGAGTGGCAGAGGGAGGGAGAGATGGTTCGGAAGCAGTGAGGAGTTGCCAGATCTGACCCTGCGAGAGCCTGAGCCCTTCAGGCCTGAGCAACTCAGGGGTGAGCGGTGAGGCAGGCAAGCGTCAGTCCTCAGGAGGCACGTTTTCTGCACCAGGAGAGACCCAGCCACTGACAATCTACACAGCCACCCAGAACCAGTGAGAAGCAGCCCTCATCAGGGAAAGATAAGTATTTGCGCATGGCTTACTGCGTGGATCAAAACAACCCTCTTAGGGAAAAATCTCTCTTCCATTTACCTCTTCGCTCCCTGCTCTGCACTGGGTCCCAGGCCAGCTTCAGCAATTGCCGGGTCCCCTGGACCGGAAGTAGACTGTCACACGCCCGGAGCCATTCTCCCTGCCTTGGAGAGTCAACAAATTAACAAACAGAAGAAAAAATAAACTGCCAGCTCCCCTAAGCCAGGAACCCAGGGTAGGCACAGCTCCTTTGCCTAGGCACAGGCATAAAGGATCCATGGACTCTGAGTGCCTTTCCCCCTACACAGACTTGTGTGGGCACATCTCAACAGTGTAGGCCCTCATTACTGCAGTACAACAAGGTATATAACGGAAGTCTAACTTCAACTGTTTTAGCTGTGAAGTGGCAGGTTCCTGACATTTGACACTGCTCTAACTATTAAGCAGGGTCTTCAACTACCCACATCAGGGCCTGAGGACTGGTGGCTCCACCCACGCCACCTAGCCACCTGCGAGAGGGGCCCATGAATAAGAGATGCCACCCAGTCCTTACAGCCAACAGCATTAGGTGCTCATATTCTGGCTGCAAAACCACCCACCTACACACTCTAGGAAAGAGAGACACGTCTTCCTCCTG